CCTTTTGCAAATGAATTGCAGACGATCTTAAATGCAATTATAATCACGGATTATAATAAGCACATTGTTCTGTTCTTTTTCACACGAGATGGAAACGATATGATGGGCCACGTGCGTGCTATAATTATGAAGTCACTATAGCAGCGCTTTTCCTGTCACTACGCCAGTTTCGTGCCTCATCACTCCACCGCTGATCTAGTTTGCTCATATCATACCTCTATTTGACTATTGGAATTATTGGTGATTTGAAATTACCCTAACAGTTAAAAAGGAAACATGAAAAATTATCGTTAAAATTGACGACAACGTAGACGTTACGGATCTTAAATGGCCTCTATGTAGTTGAAAGGCAGGCTAAAACAGTCTGTCACTTATTTGATAACATCTTTCAGAGGTCTGTCATGGCACTTATACAGTGCTAGACGCATATTTCGGAATTTCACCCTCACCAGGAGCATGGTGCCTTTCGTTTCATCCAGCCCCTTGTGAAGGGTATGTCACTTGTATATAGGAATTGGCGGCGAATATGTAACACGGCACGCGGACAAAAGGACAATTTTTTTTGGATCGAAGTTTCCCGTCTTTTAATATTCAAATATCCGACTACGATCAATACCACAGAGATGGGCCACGGATGCGGCTCTTCAAAGATGTATTAAGATGATGAGAAAGTGCCTGAACACCCGCTAAAATTCAAAGCTTATTCATAAATTTGATTGAAAACTCAGTGATTATTTATTCCATTTGATTATTAATTATTATAATTATTTAACCAATGAAAACGAAAGATATGATATATTTGACGATAGTGCAATCGAGTTTGAAACACTGTCCATCCCAGTGATGTTTCTACATGGACATGAATAGTGAAAAACTGTCCATGTCCATGTAAAAGTACGCCTGGCTCAACTCTACATAAGTATTGGGTTCCGTCTAGAGGATTGGCTATAGGCATAGGCTATTGCCCGACTGACGAGGCTGTTAAGGCCGAAACATCTGTACTGAGCTCTATAAGTTACCCTATAAAAGATCACATGTAAGGCTCACAAACTGATTTTTATCAATAATCATTCTTCGAAATAAGAACCATTATTATCCACGATCTCCTGTTAACAGTCCGCAAGCTTCCGGACTGCTCGAATGCGGCATTCCTCAGGTATTGAGGCAAAATCTCGTGGCATGCCTCTTCCATTTGATGAAATGTCTCAAATCGGCGTCCACACAAGAAATGTTCCATTGTGCGAAAAAGACCCAAAATCGGACAGCGCCGCATTTGGATTTAGGCTGGTTGGGGCAAGACCTCTACTCCTTCAACATCATCAAACTTTTACTCAGACTTTTTGCAGTGTCAGGGTTTTGGCATTGTGCCGTTTAAACAGCGCGTGTTTGAGGCAAGTTACTGTTGGATAATGTTTTTCAACGCAGGGTAGATTCGGTCCACCTGCTCGCAGTAGAGTTCGGCATTGAAGACATGACCATTTGGAACAAGTAGAAAAGGCAAGACATCTTTAAAATTCTACCAAATGCAGAACACGACCTTTTTGCCCAACAATTTCTAACGTACGACCGATGGCGGAGCTTCACCTTTCGAAAAGAAACGTTTGCTCCCATCGTGATTGACCAGGTAGATCTTTTTCCTATATTTCTGAGATATTCTCATGAATTTACATAATTGGTACTGTGTGAAACAAGTATAAAATTTGAATATTATGCGGGTGTTAAAGAACTTTTTCCTCGACCTAGTATTGCTAATACAACGGCTTTCCATGGGGTATCACAATAAAGTTTTTATCACCCAGTTAGACCTGATATTGTTCCACTAAAGTTGCCCTGTTAAAGAGGCAGGCTGGAACCAACGATCACATGAGCATTGCAGGACAGCTCTTAGTAGCGTGCTGTGCGCACCCTATGCATGAATGTGAATAAATTCCATTGAAATCATCTAATCGCCTCTAGGTAAATGTACTTTTGCGTTCTCCATAGGGACATAATGTTCCACTTCCAAAATTCAGGGAATATCTTAGTTTCTGTCGATTATCAGATTTCCTGTTCGAGAACATATCAAAGTACAAAAAAGAACAGTGAGCGGATGAGAACTCACCTTTCTCTCGTCGAAGCGCACGGTGACATTAGGTAAAACATCACTTCCGGAGCAGTTAGCCGACGCATTTAGTGATTTGATTGTGAATCTGACAAAATGGTAATTAATACATGTTTTTGTACTGAGAAAATCAAACAACCATGTTTTCGCGTACTTTTAGACATTTGTTGCGAGATCGATTCGAAAAAATCGAAATTTTTAGCGTGTTGCGAAGGCCTTTTGGAAATAAGCCAATGACTGTAATATATAGCTTAGTTGGAATTATGGCAATTATTGTACGAAAACTTCAATTGTTGCTTCTTGTATAGTTTAAATTTGCTTTCATTCTGGAAAAACATGGCAATGTTTCATGTAAATTTCTCGAAGTTAAAGTCGCACGCCTATAAAACCAAAATGCAAAGCTAATTGTCTTTTTTGTTGAACGAACGTAGTAAAATAGTCTTCTCAATCAAAAGACTCATACTGTCGAACATGGCAGACAATCTATTAGAAAGCGATTACGTTGGAGATAGTCTAAAGAACAATCCTTACTCAAATTGCATATTCTCTAAAGATATTATAAAGGTTACCAGACAGCAATAGCCACTTCTCTCGAGAAATTCTGTATTATTACAAACCTCAGGGGAGCCTTGCCCTGGCATAAGGAGTCATTTCTGAAACGCTTATTTGTCGTTGTGTGATTATCGCAATGAGGGATTTCAACTGCAAAGTGGATTGTGTAAACGAACGAACTGCAAAAACAACGAAGAATCATTTACAAAACTACGGAAAAAGAAAACGACCTTCATAACAATATTCCAAAGAAGTTGATGGCTAAGCACCCCTGAATTCAAGAAAGAAGTTTTTTTAGTTTATCGCTGCAGTACCTATGTTGAGCATTATTAGACGTATCGTACAGAGTATGAGAAGAGCGACTGTATTGCACAGCATTGTCGAATATTTTTCCATCACAATTGCCTATTTTTATAAGGAGTGCTGCTGAACTTTTCACAGTGTTAATCCTGTACTTTTGTATGTCAGCTACCATAGATTATGAGCCGATCACGTAATCAGAAATCCCATTTCTGCTTTTCGAAAGCAGAAAACTCCTGATGTGAAACATGATTTTATTCTAATTCATGCAAGGAACTATGAAGATCTTGTCAAGATACAAATTTAGTCTCGGAAGTACTAGTTCAAACTAACGTACAGATATCCACAGGCCCTAACCGAGCAAGTAATGCACTCCAAATGTGGAACATAACCTGATCTTCACTACTACAGCACAATAGAAACTTTTTTACAGAAATCGAGTGCACCGCTGAAATCATCGAAATTTGAGCTTTTGAGTGGCTGTTGAAATCTTATTAAAAAAATGTTTTTCACAAAAAGGCTCTCGGAATGTTGAAAGTCAAATGATCTTCATCATTTGGAAAGGGATGAACAAGAGATGTTCTGGTATAGATTCTCCAACCAGTGCATGTGATCACGACTTTGTCTTATATGAGAAAGGCAAACAATCATTTGCTCATTAACACAATGAATTTCGAAATTTTGAAAAGTCGGTTTCTACTATGAGATTGACGCAAGACTTAGGATATCAAGAGACATAAGAATTCAATCCAATTTTTAGGGCTGAAGAAAAACTTCTGGAAATACCTTGAAAGTTTCATTTTTATGCACAGATTAACAACAACAACTACTGCAACAGTAATTGATCTTCAAATTGAAACCATCAATGGTCACGACTTTCTGGCGTCGTTCTACAGAATTTGGGATCTGCTCAGGTTGCCAATTCAGCTCCTTTGATTTGAAAACTTTTGACATGCGTATCAAATTTTAATGTATAATTTAAAACCATGATCATATAAAAGATGTTGGAGCGATCGAAAGAGGCCATAATCGGATGAACAACGTCTCGACTGTACGCGCATGCGGAACAACTTCAACGCCGTCCAATTCTTCGAATTCATCTCAATATATATTACATTCATAGAATTACACTGCCTTTGCCTTATTGTGAAGTCAAAATCATCGATTTTGTTTTATTGCTAAACGAAGTGAAAAAAATACTATTCATTTGATAGCTTTGTGAATTGAATATATTTTTATTCACCAATCGATTCGTGATTTTCAATTCTAAAACGTCCGCTTGATGTCCATTGACAATAGGGCTAAAAAGCTCTAAAATCTTGCAAGGAACACGTTTACATGATCAGTAATGTTCACTTTCGAAACGTTAATTAGATGTCCGTTAACAACGGAGCCGAAAAAAGCTTGGAAATATTGCGAAAACATGTTTCGCACTCAATTCATATTATTCAAATTCGAAACGTTCTTTGACGTCCGTCAACAATGGCGGTGAAAACGCTAAGCCATCAATATGATGGGTTCATTCCAAACAAAAAAGTAGGCCATAATATTTTGTTACTCGACGAATTTACTGTCAACTACGCAGGATCATTCCAAAGCCATTCCCTTTCTCCACCATTGTAGAAATAACCCTCAATACGTAGGGCTTCTGTTCATAAAGAGCTATTAAACGAATGATTTAAATAGTCTTGCAGCTAACTCATCGGGGGAGCGATGGCTATTGTGTGCACTGTAAAGACGTACACGAACTTCACTGACGCTAGCTACGCTTTCCTTCTAAAATCCAGAAAGCGACAGTGGAGGCAAGAGCTACGCAGAATGTTTCCATACATAAAGAAAAACCGTAGAAATGTAGTCAGAGTAAGATTTTGTAAAATTTGACATTTTCCACTTTCGCAGTAAGATTTTGCAAGATCTAACAATTACAGTAGCTCAATAAAAATATGTCACTTCATGTACCCCAAAACTCTAGTATTTTTACTGCTTTTCTCGCAGTGTTATGATATTACATATATACCTAAGAGAACTGAGTAGCGAGCAAAAATCCGGCATATGGCGGGAATCGAGCCCGCGTTTCGTCCACACCGGGGACGCGTGCTACTAGCTTTACACCATAGAAGCACATTTGGATCTCGGCATTACCAGTCCATCATAACTTTTTGACGATCAAGCTTGTAGCACGATGTTGTTAATAGAATTTTTCCCCGATTGACGTTCCAAAGCATTTCGTCTTCTTTAGAGCCGATGTTTCGCGACGACTGTCCTTGATGCCGAAACGTTCGTTAAATAGATTTGTTGTCAAAAACCACATGCTACAGGTTTGATCAACAGAGAAGATATTTCATTACGGTGTCTTACAGCGACTTCACGCCAAGGAAACTATTGTGTTTTATGTTCATTAATGGGTCAATCTCCGGGTTTATCTCATCTTCATGATCGAAGACGATTCACATTCATTTAGTAAGAAGATCTGACGACAGATGGACGAAATGAACTGAAAAAAGGACGCCATGAGAATTTACTGGTCCCTGAGGACGACCACCTACACGTTGGGCGCATGTGTTTGTGAGAAGAATCAATTAGCTGTATTCATGACTGTGTTCGCATTCGCTGTATTCGTACCTGCCGATATTTTACAGATGATTGTATGAGACTTCGCCAGTGGCCATGTTCGAGCGAAACCGTCGCTATGGCGGGCGATCGCGAGAAGACGAGACGAATGGGCAATGTTTCGGCGTGAAGACGAACCGTCCAAGTTTTCAAGTAAGTATTAAGACGCGCAGGAGCTCTTCTTAATGAAAATACCTCCAAAAAATATCCTCGGTAATATGCAATCTTTAACGATGTTATTCTCGTCATTCAAATTGTAACGTATAATTGCAAGCAAAACTTTCTGTCAAGTTCATACAACGGACTAATTGGTCCGGAAGCAAGTTTTTGTTTACTTTCATTTATGGTGCGTACGGTGAAGACTTACCTAGTGATCAAATCCAGTGCTGATTGATTTCTCAAGCTATCGGGTCAGTGTTAACAAAGTCTGAAAAGGCAGGATATACTGTTTATTGTAAGGACTAGATATACTAAGCAGCAAAGGTGAATTGCTGATTGGTGACAACGTGTGAATAACGAAAAATGCTGTTCACAGTTGTTAATTGTATAGATGCTTTCTAAGAGTACTCCTGAAGCTAGTGGATGACCTCTATCAAAGCTTACTTCGGTTTCGTATGAAGACTCTCCATATAAAGCTTTTGCAAAAGTCGTACATTGCAGAAAATGTTTTCGAATAACAGTTTTAGCCCAATCTTGAAAATACATGTGAGAAGAAGTTTGGACTGCGTTTTTAGCCCATTGAGCCTTGTGGCATCGCGGCAATAGCAGAGACTTCAAGTTTCGAATACGCTGCCCCTCCCATGCAATCTTGTCAGGACAAAGAAGGAACGTCTCCTTTTGCTGAACAAGATTGCATGAGAGTGACAGCGTATTCGAAACTTGAGTCTCTGCTATTGCCGCGATGCCACAAGGCTCAATGGGCTAAATACGCAGTCCAAACTTCTTCTCACATGTATTTTCAAGATTGGGCTAAAACTGTTATTCGAAAACATTTTCTGCAATGTACGACTTTTGCAAAAGCTTTATATGGAGAGTCTTCATACGAAACCGAAGTAAGCTTTGATAGAGGTCATCCACTAGCTTCAGGAGTACTCTTAGAAAGCATCTATACAATTAACAACTGTGAACAGCATTTTTCGTTATTCACACGTTGTCACCAATCAGCAATTCACCTTTGCTGCTTAGTATATCTAGTCCTTACAATAAACAGTATATCCTGCCTTTTCAGACTTTGTTAACACTGACCCGATAGCTTGAGAAATCAATCAGCACTGGATTTGATCACTAGGTAAGTCTTCACCGTACGCACCATAAATGAAAGTAAACAAAAACTTGCTTCCGGACCAATTAGTCCGTTGTATGAACTTGACAGAAAGTTTTGCTTGCAATTATACGTTACAATTTGAATGACGAGAATAACATCGTTAAAGATTGCATATTACCGAGGATATTTTTTGGAGGTATTTTCATTAAGAAGAGCTCCTGCGCGTCTTAATACTTACTTGAAAACTTGGACGGTTCGTCTTCACGCCGAAACATTGCCCATTCGTCTCGTCTTCTCGCGATCGCCCGCCATAGCGACGGTTTCGCTCGAACATGGCCACTGGCGAAGTCTCATACAATCATCTGTAAAATATCGGCAGGTACGAATACAGCGAATGCGAACACAGTCATGAATACAGCTAATTGATTCTTCTCACAAACACATGCGCCCAACGTGTAGGTGGTCGTCCTCAGGGACCAGTAAATTCTCATGGCGTCCTTTTTTCAGTTCATTTCGTCCATCTGTCGTCAGATCTTCTTACTAAATGAATGTGAATCGTCTTCGATCATGAAGATGAGATAAACCCGGAGATTGACCCATTAATGAACATAAAACACAATAGTTTCCTTGGCGTGAAGTCGCTGTAAGACACCGTAATGAAATATCTTCTCTGTTGATCAAACCTGTAGCATGTGGTTTTTGACAACAAATCTATTTAACGAACGTTTCGGCATCAAGGACAGTCGTCGCGAAACATCGGCTCTAAAGAAGACGAAATGCTTTGGAACGTCAATCGGGGAAAAATTCTATTAACAACATCGTGCTACAAGCTTGATCGTCAAAAAGTTATGATGGACTGGTAATGCCGAGATCCAAATGTGCTTCTATGGTGTAAAGCTAGTAGCACGCGTCCCCGGTGTGGACGAAACGCGGGCTCGATTCCCGCCATATGCCGGATTTTTGCTCGCTACTCAGTTCTCTTAGGTATATATGTAATATCATAACACTGCGAGAAAAGCAGTAAAAATACTAGAGTTTTGGGGTACATGAAGTGACATATTTTTATTGAGCTACTGTAATTGTTAGATCTTGCAAAATCTTACTGCGAAAGTGGAAAATGTCAAATTTTACAAAATCTTACTCTGACTACATTTCTACGGTTTTTCTTTATGTATGGAAACATTCTGCGTAGCTCTTGCCTCCACTGTCGCTTTCTGGATTTTAGAAGGAAAGCGTAGCTAGCGTCAGTGAAGTTCGTGTACGTCTTTACAGTGCACACAATAGCCATCGCTCCCCCGATGAGTTAGCTGCAAGACTATTTAAATCATTCGTTTAATAGCTCTTTATGAACAGAAGCCCTACGTATTGAGGGTTATTTCTACAATGGTGGAGAAAGGGAATGGCTTTGGAATGATCCTGCGTAGTTGACAGTAAATTCGTCGAGTAACAAAATATTATGGCCTACTTTTTTGTTTGGAATGAACCC